ACCATTTTGGAGGCTGTAGATATTTCTGACGTGGTAACGGACTGCATTATCTGAGGTTTTTTAAATGTAGTTATGCCACTAGTAAACAGGTAACTGTGTATGTAATGTTTGCTATGAAAATAAAATGATTTAGTACCTGTCTGTAGGAGCACTGCAGAACAGTCTTTGGATCCCCTTCACAAGCACTCCTTTTTCCAACTCATCCACCGAAGGAGAACACATACCTGCAAACCTGTGTGTAGAATGGCAGCATGTCAACATTCACAAAAACCTGAATATAAACATTGTGACTGCCAGAAAAACACGTTTTGTGTGTTTGTTTGTTTATTACCTGTAAAGCGCACTCTTCCTGTCCTGAAACACATCCTGCTTCTTGTCTTTGCCAAACACTTTGGTACCCACTGTCTCAAACACATTACAGTCCAACAGAGCCTGGCACACACACACCACTTTGTCCCGTGTAACATCAGCACCTGAAATTAACCAAGCAGAAAGGGGAAATGCATGGTTTTGGTCTATCAATAAATAGAAAATTGTCTCAAGTCAAATTAAAACCCTCAAAAGAAAATTCCCCCAATGATTTAATGTAGAATGGAATAGACACATTTAAAATCCACAAACACACACCCTCAAAGGCTTTCCCACAGCTGATGTGTTCTGTCAGCACATCCACAGCCTCTGAGCCCAGGAAGCAGTCGCTGTGAGACTTGAGGTGGACTCGTCGACGCGTCACTGTCACAGAGGACCTGAGGTGGGAGAGGAGGCTGCTCCACATGGAGGACGACTGGACCGGTTTACTGGCCACACCAGGAGCTAGGAGGAGACACAGAGACAGTCAAAGCAGTGGATTTGTACAGATTACACTGTGTGCAATTGGGGGAGAACAAAGGGGGTCCAAGATTTAAAATGTTTCTTTGACATACACTACCAGTCAAAGGTTTGGACAAAAAGTGTTTTATTTATTTAAAAATGTTCTACATTGTAGATTTATACTGAAGACATCAAAACTATAAAAGAACACATGTGGAATTATCTAGTCAACAAAAAAGTGTTACAAAAAAATCCAGAATATGATTTATATGTTGCTGGCTACTGCAGAATGGATTTTTTAACACTTTTTTGTTAACTAGATAATTCCACATGTGTTCTTTCATAGTTTTGATGTCCTCAGTATTAATCTGAAAAGTAGTCAAACATTTAAATAAACAGAAAACATGAATGAGAAGGTGTCCAAACGTTTGACTGGTACTGTATACAATTTTAAGAAGTGTTATTGGTGGATTGGAATGAGGACAGAGTAGATAATTACACGATCAGGAAAAAACAAGAAACAATCAAAAAGTGTCCCAAAGAAGTTAATGATCAGCGCATGCATCATTTTTGGTGGAGGATTCTTTATGACGATACATATTCATTAAGTCAATATTAACATTGCATTTTATGTTTCCTTACTGTGCAAATAAACCTTTATGCAAGTGTTTTCATTTATTTACAAATTATACTTTGAAAAAGTAAGTCAGCCATATTAAAAGCGGTGGGGACCCAGCGTAAATCACACTTAGCCTAACAGATAAACAAGGTTACAGGATCATTTGTGAGATCAAAAGCATGGAGAAGAGGACAGGCTAGTGGAGGAATGCAAAGACATACATTCTAACTAACCAATGTCAGCAGGGTAAGGGTTGTTTGTTAATAGGTGGGGATTACAATTTTAGGGAAGATTTTGTGTGTTTTGTTTAGTGTATCCTAGTTGCCTTTGATAATAATCAGGCGCATGAAGAGCAGGCCTCCATTAGCTGCAGAAGTCTCAACACGTCGTTGAAATGCGTTTGATTTACTCACCTTGAGGACGCACACACAACTTGTCTGCCAGGTTTAACGCGGCGGCTCTTTCTTTAATTGAAGACATGTCTGCCAGACGATGGAACAGCAGTGGCAAACGCACTTCCTACTTTGATAACAGGTGTGTAGACCACCAGGTGAAACAGAGCACGTCCATCGCAGAGGCCACTTCAGTAACGGTGCAATTATAAGTATATCGCTAGATGGCGCCAATGGCTAAATCACAGTGGCCTCTCTCACACAGGACTGTGCAGTGCTTGCTGCCTGATCGTTTTATTCCAGGTTTGTTTTATAGCCTATACGGTCTGTTTATACATATGGCTATGTCCACTGTGTTGACTTGTCTTCAAATACATGTTTTTAAAAAGTCTCAAAAAACGATTGAATGGAAAATGGGAATAGGAAGTCAAAACAGTTCTGACTCAGTCAGTAGCCTAATGCCGATGCTGCCCCGATGCCGATGATTGAGTATCCTATGTATAGGTTTTTATTGTCCCTTGAATTATGAAATCCAACAAATACTTATATTTTGATAAGTAAATTAGCAATGCAAATAAATAGGCAATATGTGACCTACTCGAGGAGTGCATACGAGTGTTAGCAATAGCATTATCATCTGTGTTTTTAGGCAGGTATTGTAAATCAAGTTTTTCACACATTTTTTCGCCTCGAGGCTGCTGGTGTCACTTTACGGCTGGTAGCCGGTGTGCGAATATGGTAAAATATATCGTTTAAATGACCAACAGCGAAAATAAACTTGGCAAATAAATCACTTAACCTATGACAACAATTATCGTTGCCGTACATTTGAAGAGCACTGCATTCATGAAAACTTCCCTTTTTCCACTTTTTTAAAAACGTGTATAAACAATTTTAAATCAGTTAAAACGTTTTTTTTCAAAAAAGATGTAGATATTTGAATTTTTCCTAACATGTTTGTCATTATTTTAACCACCTAATTAGTTTTTTTGAACAACACTCTTCTGCTAAAGCTGTGCCTCAAAGGCAGTTTACTCTTGGCTTCTCCTGATGATAAGGCCCGAGGGCGCTCTTTGAAAACTACTCGTCTGGCCTTCCCCTTGTTCGCTAGTTTGGCTAACTATTAAAGGTAATGTAGCAACATTAACAATTCAACATTTACCAGAATATTCCGTTAAAACCATTACACATATAAACCCCTAGACAAATTAAGATATTTTTTAACAAAAATATCCTAAAATGAATTTACTTATCGTTTGGTTTATGTTAGCAACTTGCAGGCTAATGATAGCTAATATGTTCTTGTATTTAGCTAGCACTGAGTTAGCTTTTGGTTTGGTCTAATGTTTAAGTCTGGTGGTAATTACAATAGAAAACGGCAATGTTATTTACTTATAATTATAATTTGGTTGATTCATTAATTTGAACAATATCCTACATTTATTTGGACTTCAATATATTCTAACTAAAATAGGGAGTAAACAGTTTACAGGTATTTTTCAGTCAAAACACGGTAATATACCCAGTGCTGTAATGTAACTGAGAACATTTACTCAAAAACTGTACTTAAGTAAAACATTAAGGTGCTAATACTTGTTTACTTTTAGTTGAGTACATTTTTTATGCTGAACTTTCACTTGTAACTGAGTATTTTTACACTGTAGTATTGCTACCTTTGCTTAAGTAAATACTCTGAGTACTTCTTCCACCTCTGAATATTCCTAATTTTAATGGAAAAGTAAGCATTTATTATAAGCTTGCTCATTTGCCTGTATTTGCAATATATTCAGTGAATGGAGTGTTTACTTTATAACAAAATGGTCAATAACCTTCTGTGGTTAAGACTCCAGTGGGCCTTCTTCTAGACATGTGAACTGTCTTAGTGGGAAAGCACTGTGTATTAACCTAATAACATAAAGATTCAATTGTTCCATAAGTAAGCCTTGACTATGGTACACTGAGCTAGCATGCACAAAAGGACCCTAAAACTATATTAGCTAAATGAAATTCAGCCATCATTTGTTTTGTGTGTCACTGGGGCTTTCTCTACTGTGACATGATAAAATATCTCCCACCTCCTGTTTTATTACACTTTTACACCAGTATCGAAGTACTTTAGCTATTGTATTGCTGTTATGTGTAATGTGAATGCTTGTATTACACTCTCATGGCTTTTGTTTCTTCTCTTTAGGGCATTACAGAACAGTAACTAACATCACTCAACCCAAAGGTAATACAGACATTTTGTTGCTTGATAGAAATATTCCCATTTAATGGCTTGCAGTTCTTTTAATTAGTCTTTTCGTGGCTTAGATATGGTGGTTAATACCTGCTCAACTGAATCACAGCAGAAGCAAATAAAGACAATGTGGTCTTCTCCCTCCCTCCCAGTCATACACATACACATTCACAGTGTGCACATAAGACACACATTCGCTTTGACACACTAACACACGTTTCACGTCCCCTCCCTCCTCAGCCTGGGGTCACACTGTCATTTTATGATAGTAGCCAATTCAAGCAGGGATCATTTAATTCTCCAATGTGATTGATAACAGCTCAGGTTAAATGGGGGGGAAAAGGTCCGTTCTATTAAGAGATCAGTGGCTAGTGGAGACCTCCCACTTAAATAGTCATATTTCCTCTAAGCGTGTATGCAGTGTGTGTGTCACTCAGTTTCTTGGTAATGTTGAGGTGACACAGACAGTTGCAGAAGACCATCTACAGGTCAAATGAAATAACCTAGATAATTTAAAAAGCATTGACAGTGCAATTTGTCCATTCAGTGTTATTGCTCTGACCCCTATTTAGTGTCAATGGGCTGGTTCATTTGAACCTCGATGGCTTATCAAGGTGTTATCTTCTCACTGCAATGGAAGTGGTGTAAAACAAAGGAAGAAAAAAAACCCTTATGGTCATTCCAAAGCCATTAGGTTAGATTGTAGTGATTGAGAAACATTACAAGGGTTTAATGTTCTTGCCTATTATTTATAATAAAATCATTTAGCAGTAAAAATTGCATATGAGGTGGTAATTAGAAAGCGTGTGAGGGGAAAAGCAGAGTGTCACCGCTTATTAAACAGCCAATTCTATTAACCTTTTTCAACAAAATAGTTTTTTTTCTTGATTAACAGGCAGCAGAGGACGACTGGGACCTTGGGCTGCCTTTTAACAACTCCATGGATCTCAGTACTGACTCCGGGACACTCCCCCCCCACACCACTGTAAGTTTCTACTACTGACAGTAGAGGACAAAACAAAGAACATCCATCAGCTGATTTGTTTATTTATTTAAATATTACATTTAAACTTAAAAATATTTGATATAAACAATTTTGGGGTTTTGTCTAGGTTTATTTCTAAAAAACAGAACATGGAATATTTACTGTATAATGATTTGCTCTTTGTTTTAAAAAGCACACTCTTTTGTTTTGTATTGTATGCAGGAAGAAATTACTTTGAAAATGTTTGTCTTACAGCCTCGGCATGTAGTCTGGTTTTGTATTCTAATATTGTCAAACTAACTGCTAATTAAGTATTTGAATTGCTAAATTAAAAGCATACATTTTCTTCTGTGTAGGTAAGAGGACCGATGTTGGGGCAGGAACTGTCCCTGTCTAATGCTCGCTGTCAGACAGAAAGTGGAGGCACCATCTCACTACATTTGTTGGGGTTTAAAACCCATCTACTTGAAGCTGTGGAGGAGCTGCATATTCGGAGGGTAAAGTAGAAATTACTCAGTCAGTGTGTGTCTTTTTAGATGTATGCAGTATTGTATCTCCAACAGTACATTTCAAGTACTATTATTTTGAAGACACAATAAAAAAATGTATTGGTCACTAGAGCAGTGATTCTCCACCCTTGTCTCTTCTATCCTTTGAATTAGAGTTGCGCATGTGTGTGGCCCGTTTTCAATTGTTTTGACCAGTCCGACAAAAACAGATGTTCCTCCTTCTTTTATTTGCATTTTGAGAAACCTAAATGTACCCGTAAAAATTGTTTAGCGATACTTGTCAATCAAATTAACATTTACTTTTAATAGAAATTGAAAAAGCTTTGAATTGTTTGAGAAGCTATTTTTAAAAGCTTTATATATTTTTAAAATATCAACAATCAACCTCAACAAAACGGACACACAGACAAATAGCAGTAACATACAGCAGTGGCTAATGAGGTATCTACTTTTCGACACTTGCTTAAGTGCTGACCATCAGGTCCGAAGTTTCAAAGTTACAGACCAGAGTTGTGAGAAAACCCTTTTGGAAAACTCAACAAAAAAAAATCCAACATGCTTTTATATTACAATAAGAAATGGAAGCCTGGAAACCAATTTAAATACATTTTGGCTTTAAGCGCCACTCAGCACATTTCCTAGGAATAAACAGGACCCCACCTCCAACACTGTAGCCAATTATTTGTATACATCCATGCTTTAATTATTCAGCCTGAGTACAGTTGAAGTGCAGAGAAGTGTCAAAATAGTTGTTTTGTTTTCAGCATTGCATACTTCCTCTGCATCACAGCACTATTCACTGAGTAGAACTAAAGACACTAATGGCTGTCTGGCTGAGGAGGGGGGGGGGGGGGGGGGGGTGGTGTTACAGTGTCCTGGAAGAAGCCATCTGCCCCTTATTGGCCGTAAGAGCCAGCTAGATCTGACGCACTGTGTGTTGAGATAGGGGTCAAATAAGCCATTTGACTCCTGACCAATAAGTAGCAAGAACATTTGTTTGTAAAAATAACTAAAATAAATAATAATGCCTCCTACCCTCCAGCAAGTGCTTTCAACCTAACAACACAGTGCGAGTGTGCTTAAAGGTGAAGCCAGCCAAATGGGATGTTAGTCGTTTGTTCCCATTTAGTTTTTATTGTTATAGTCATGTCAACTGGGACACGAGCGTAACATGTTATATCAGTGTTCCTCCTCGGGCAATGCTGCTACCAAGTACTTTGTATCTGTAGCGTTCGTGGGGTGGAGAGGTTGAGAAGGATGCGATGTTGGTGCCGGACATTCCTGAGCAGGTCAAATTCCAATGGGTTTGTTTTCTTTTTTGAATACAAGACAACCCACTGCTTTTGTTTCTAAGAATGTGTTTACTGGTAGACTTAACCCCAAATGGCAAAGCACTTGGATGTTGCCTATACATATGACTTTTATAGAATACATTCTAATTATTCAAAGTGAGATATGAATTAAGACATATTCTAACCGAAGGAATTTAATAAAATCGGAACATTTTATGACACTGAAAAAAAGCTTTGAAAGGTTTACAATTAGAGATTTAAAATTTGAAACTAATAAAGATTTGTTGTGTATAACATCTGTCAAGACAGAAATTGTGACAGAATTTCTAATGGAAGGAATTTATCAATAAAATATCACACTATGTTTGTTAAAAGAGGCCCCATTATGCTCCTTCCTGTGTTCTAAAGGTTTGTGTGCATGTAAACGGTCTGAAAAGGCTAGTTTTTCCCTCCAGAGCCAAGTTCCCTTCTGAGGGAGTTTCTCTCCCACACCCCCCCCCCCCCCCCCCCCCCCCTGCCTGAAACGCCTGCATTGGACTCCTTTGTTTTCTTCCGTAACATAGTGACATCACTTTGTAACACCCACGCTTCTACTGGCTAGCGCTCCTACACATTGTACGTGATAGTCTAAGGGGTGGGACATTTTTAAGTAATTGACCAATCACAACAGAGCCGACCAGCTAACCAATCAGAGCAGACAGAGGGTGAAAAGAGGTGCTGCAGCAAAATACAAATATGAACCTGAGCATTTGCTTAATAGGGCCCCTATCTGCTCTTTTATATTTTGAAACTGGAAAAAAAAGCATTGAAAGGTTTAAAATTGGGGTTTAGCTCTAACCCTAATGAAAAACTTAAGGATAACTTTGTATAAGTTGTCCAACTAGAGTAACTAGACTATTAAACCATTTCTATGGCCAGATACTTGTTTTTTTCTTTTTTAATGCCTTGTAAAGCATCCATTCAGAACAGCAGTAAACCAGTAAAGGGATCAAATCTATGGCAAATATATGATGTTAACAATCATGCATTTTCAAATAATTAGTTAAATCAAATATTATAAGTAACCTTTTAGCTAAATATAAATCATAAGTGCCCTTAGTTGATCTGCAGTTGCCTATTTAGATTGACCTCTGCTTAATAACGCTTTCTAGTGTTTTCTTCAACACGTATAGACACAGTGAGGATTCCTCAGTGGAAAAATAACAGCTTTATCTCCTGTGCACTCCTTTTTTTTTTTAAAGTGCTGGTAGCATAGTTTAATTGGAACTTATAAAATAAACTCAGCGAGTTAACCAGCTCCCACATGCACATAAAACAGTCCCGTGGATATAGAGAGCAATTGACTTTTACCTGCCTTCTCCCAGAGAAGAGGGAGGATAGGGATGGCTTTCCACAAATATCGCCTCCCCTCTAATGTTCCTTTTTCACCATGTGCTTCAATAAAAGATACGGAGGAATGATTCAGGGGAACTTAATGCAGTTTGCAGTTCTGGCTCAACTCCAGAGAGTTATCCGATTTCAGTCTGTACCATGCCTGCTTAGAAGGTATTTCTCCCATCTATATTTTAATTGACAAATCTTATATTTGTTCAACAGTGGGTACAATTTATAATCTCACAACAAAGGGGACTGTGCAGATCAAAAGGCAAATTGCATAAGTAGACTATCATATTAGATAAAGAGGTAAACACATCAAATAAGTACACATCCATGGAAACAAAACTAAGTAGCATCATTATATAAAGTAAGAACATATATAAGAGTAATCGGGTAACAGGAAGTGAAAACATTATTTGTGTGTAAAGTCATATTATACAGAGTGTTGAAGTTGGCAGCGATTAATAACATGCCTAAATGGTATACATAAGTATACACAGTATACACATACATTTAACGTCTTATTTCCTTTTCTCCGGGTTGTCTGTGTGACTGGTTGTGAATGAATCCTTTATAAAAATGATTATATGTGATTGCTCCTAGGATTATTAAGCTGTTATGTGACTAGAGCTTTCAAAAATAAACACGTTAGCGGTCGCAATTCATCTGGTACCCCTAATGTGTTAAAAAAAATGAATACAAATTAATCACATGACTAAGTGTAACCCCAACTTTGTCCCGTAATTCCTGCGCACATTGTTGCGAACATTTTTGTCATGAATCACAAGACGGTAAGCAGCCATCAATACCTTGATGTAATGGCATACCAAATCTATGACAAATGGCAACTGCACTCGTGCGCTTTACGTGTGGTGAAGACGGAGGAAAGGCATTTTGACGAACCATGCTCCAGTTTCTTAAAGCTGCACAGAAGTGGAAGAGACACGGTCACCGCTATACAGTGTTTTCTTCAAGGTTGTGTCTTCCTGGTCGAATGTACTTATTGTAAGTCGCTTTGGACAAAAGCGTCAGCTAAATGCAATGTAATGTAATGTAATACAGTAGGAACAGATGTCATTCTCAAGCTGCATTTCCATGTTACATGATTTGTTAATTGCTCACCTAGAGGTTGGGCGCAGAGCTTTGCAGTAAAAACATCTAGGTAGTTTTGTTTCTATGGTTGCATTCCCTGCTAGCTTGCATCGCTTCATACAGCTCTTATCTGATTGGTTGCGCAACAAAATGTCAGCGGCTTTCAACATTGAGAGCAGCACTTGCCGACAGTTTCAATACTACTGGCATCGGGCGGAATCGATTTCTCAATAGACCAAAACAACTAACCTGAGATGTATTAATAATGTAATAACCCTTGTTTTTCTTACCAGTTTGGCATGCATTTCTCTTTTACAACACCATATGTGTTTTTGATTTATTTCCCCCTAAATACTAGTAAATAATAGTATTGTGAAACTTTAGATTAATCACGTGATTACATTTTCTTAGTAATGATGCCTTCCCATTGTTCAGGATGCAGAGACTCGCTTCGAGGATCAGATCAGTAAACTGGTGCTGGAGAAGCAAGAGCTGGAGTGGGAGAAGGTAAAGCTAGTTTTACAACTCTAATATCTGAAATTCAAAACTTACATAGGTGGACATTCACAAAAGATCAGGCTCTTATCGTACAATTTATCCAGAATTTCAACTTTGTTCATCATCAATTACTTTGATTGGTTTTGTCTTTTCCTGTATGACAGGAATCCCTACAACGTCAGATTGAAACAGTGGCCAACCAACACACTGAGTCAATCCTCAATGTGAAGAAAAAGGTATGATTCCACTATTTGTTTACAGCTTTTATATCTACAAAGACAGTACTTCCTGAACAATTCCTTCTTTTATGTCCTCAAGCTTCAGGCCAAAATCAGAAACACAGTGGAGGAGAAGGTATGAAGATCTTATTCCCAAACGTCAATGAGATATTCAGAGCATTTGATTTAGTTAATGTTTTCAGTGGAGTAGTAAATCCACTCATCTCAGCTGCACATCTCTTCTTGGCCCGTGGGGTAGATTCTCTAGTGCTGTGCTTGGGTATTTATTGTTTTTTGACACTGACGATAATAATATAACATTTCAGGGTAAATACCAGGTCAGTGCTGAGATAAAAGACAAGGAGATTAACAACCTGAAGGACGAGCTGAAGACGCTACAGGTAATGGGATGTGAAACATACACTGCCTCTTGTCTCTGGCCCAAATCCCTTCTCACTTCCACTCTGCTTGCGTGTTCTCATGGAGAGTTCAGCACATTAGGGGCCCCTCAAAACCAAGTAGTGTGGATTAGAGTTTATTAACTTTCACCCGTGAGTCTGCATCAGTCCTGATTAACCAGCTTTCCATGGAACTAATGTGTAAATAGTTCTGTGCAAACATATAGCCAACTACGAAATACATTTTATTTTGTCTTCGAGTTGTGAACAACTTCAAGGTTACATTGTATTTATTTGTTTTTGTACTTAGATCATACCAGTGTCTAGTTAAACAATTGTTAATTTGACTGACCATTTTTTCTTTTTATCACATTTTTTTGCAAAAACCAAGCAGCTCATGGACATTAAGATTAAAGAGATGCTGACTCTAACCTTTTAAGAAGGAGCCTCATTCAGCTGAGAGTGAGACTACAGACGGAGCATGTTGGGGAGTTTGGAATTGGGCCTCTGTCTTACCTATGCCCACCTTTCTATTTCTTATGACCCCAGGTTAGAACCATGCCTGTGTTCCCTTCTACTGTCACCCCCTCTTTCTTCCCAATAAGGCTAATATGGCCCAAAAAATAATAGGTAACTAAAAAGAAAACTGCCAAATGTTCTCTGGTTCCAGCTTCTCTAATGTAAAGATGTAATGATTTTCAATTTTGCATTAATGCCTTGGTTGGTTGGAGACTGGTAATTGTTCATTTATCAACAGACATAATAGTTAATTAAATAACAAAAATAAGTTAAAGGGGACCTATCATGCAAAATGCACTTTGTGATGTCTTTTTTACATAAATGTGTCCCTGGTGCGTCAGGGAACTCACGCAGCGTCAGAAAATAAAACCCTCTCTTTTCCTCCGTACCCAAATCTTTTAAAAACAGCTGTACAACGAGCGGATACAGATTCCATCCGAACTGACGTCAATTCGGCAGCGGACCCACAGAAAGTTGCTATCAGACACAATGCCTGACGTGTTTTGGACGTCTTTGTTTACATTAGCGAGCCTCGCTAACACTCAGAGCTAACCTGTACTGAAGAGCACATGTGTTTGAAAAGCAGGAAATAAAAAAAGAACTCACCTTGTGATAAACCTGCAAGAGAAAAAGCATTTGAGCTCCATACTATTTCAGAAATAATCCTTGACCTGGTTTAAACAGAATGGCGTTTTATCACAACCGAATTTAACTTTATCTCCGGTAGAATTCTGATCAGGCATTAGCTCCGCCTCCTCTTATTTATTTATTTATTTCAAGCTAAGGACCCAAAATCTGCATTTCTCTAACAGGGCTTCAAAAGAGGGGATTGAGCAGTATGAGGCATGGCTACAATGGGTGATCTGTTTGGTATTTTGAAAAAAAAACTTCACAGACATGTTTTATATAGGTATGGCCCTACAATATATGTTTCAAATATAGCATGATAGGTCCACTTTCAATATAGGAATCAATAGTTAAAAGCTTACAATATCCGTATATAAATAATAAATACTCCCCACACAGTTTACATACTATAGAGCAGAGGTGCCCAGTACGTCGACCGCGGTCGACCGTGGGGGCAATGCTGGTAAATCGCGAGTCATTCATAAAAAAAAAAATCCAGCTCCGTTAAAATAGAGAAAACAGGTTTTGATCCCTCCTCCCTTGGCCTCCCTGCCATTTAATTCAGGAGTTTACTTGATTGACAGAAAAAGCGACCTATCGCTTTCCAGTCTGTTAACCCAGAATGCAAAGCGATACAAAATCAGTCAAGTGCCGGGAAAACATTCACATTCAAAGGTTATTTGCCTTATTTGTAAAGCAAGCGTCGCTCTGCCAAAGAAACGGCCCGTCTACACTACAGGCGTCAAAACATGCTTTCAACGCTTCGCCCATTCATTTGAATGGGGTGACGTAGGATATTTTCAAACTTCGCCGAACTGCATTGTGGGTAGCATGGCAAGGCGTTGCAAGCATCGCGAGCGTCTATCGGCGTCGATGCTTGCTCGAAGCTGGCGTCAGCCAATGAAATCCCGTGTATGCAAATCTGCCAGTACAAGCGCTAGCCAATCAAACCGCGTGTATGCTGGGAGAGACTACGCAGGTCATTTCCTCATATTCAAAAAAATGGAGGGAAAATTCATTATAGCGGTAGTGAATCACCCGGTGCTGTATGATCAGTCTCTGTTTATCTACCGGGATACAAACCAGAGGAGCGAGGCATGGAGGGAGGTGGCAGAGACAGTGGGTGAAACTGGTAGGTTTTCGCCTGTTTGGGGATTTTATATCCAGTTTACTTCGTTTTAACATTGCTATTGCTTTGTATGTCGGGGGCGGGAGATTCATGTGATTGGTTGTTGGTCGCGTTGCTCGCAAAAAATCGCCAAGCCTCAGCCACGCCCAGCTTCGAGCTTTTTCGACGCCTGTAGTGTAGACGGGCCGAAAGGCTGACAGCGACTTCCCTCCGAGTGGCGAGTTGAGAAAGAGAAAGGTCATGTATTATTGTTACAGAAACATTATCTCGCAGTCTTAGTGTCGCCAACTCGTTTCTAACATGCAAAAAGACACAAAAATGTGTCTATGGTCGGTGTATTTTCGACCTGTATCTCTCTCCCCTGTCTGTGTGCGAGGGGGGCGGGGCAGTTTACACACACTCGGCTGCTACATGCAGCAACACACGGCGGGGATGGCGGAGAGAAGCGCTCCAAGGTGTGGTTAAATGTTACCCGTCTCGATGTGGACAATGCTCGTTACCAAAAGTGCAATAAGAGTTTAGCATTTAAGGGCGGTAACACGAGCAATTTGCCTAAACATTTAGCAAAAGTGCTCCACATTCAGACGGAGGAATGCACCGGGTTCGACTGTCTTTCTAGTTGCTCTGTAGCTCCATCCACGAGTAACGTTTCCATGCCAGGTGTTATGTATGCTAGCAGCAACACACGGAGTTAACTACATTATACAAACATGGGTTAATGATTAGAGGTAACAGAGTTACTCTTTATTTTGTTAAAGTTTCAGCTATTCTGTTTACAGTTCTGTCATCAGATTATTTAATACGATTTGTTAAAACATTGTTGTTTCTTTTGATGTGAAATATTATTTATTTAATTTAAATAAAAAGCAATGTTAATTTTGTTCACAATTTGTTAAGTTAATTTAATAATATATGTATTTTTGAATCAAGTATTCATCTTTATTGTCTTCATTGTTAGTTTCCACATGCCTAAAACAACCTCAAGCTAAATCTAAAAGTTGATGGCTAAATAAGAGCGTTTGAGAAATTGTGCAAGGCATACAGTAATAGTCCGAATAGTCGATTAATCGTTTCATTAATCGATAGATTAATCGATTATCAAATTAGTCGTTTGTTGCAGCCCTATTATCCCATGTATAAATAAAACGTGTTATTCAGCAACCCTTGCAATTTGGGATTTTATTTTTGGTTGGTAGACTTCGGTGAGCTGGTCATTTCAAAAGTAGCTCACCAGCCAAAAAAGTGTGGGCACCCCTGCTATAGAGCATGTTGACAAAGCAATCTCTCCTTAAAGGTGGGGTAGGTAATTTCGGAGAAACCAGCTCGAGTGCGCTAGAATTTGAAAATACACGACCGGAGAAAATCTGCCACTTCCTTACAGAGCCCCTCCTCCAACACACACGAACGCGCACATGACCAATGAGGGCACGAGATAAGTTTGTGCACAGATGGAAGGCTGACCGTCAGGTAGGCCATCCAGTTACTTTAGCCAGGCCGGCTAAAATGATTGGTTGTGCTTTTTACAGTACTACGGCTTCCACTAGGGATGCTCCGATCGCCAATTTCGGGGTCGATCGCCGGAATCAGTATCGGCCGATACCGATCGCCGATGCCGATCCGATCGAGTGGGCGGGGCCTAAATGGAAGATTTAAACATCACTTTAAATCTTCCATTTAAAGTGATGTTTAAAACTCAGTTAATGGGGCTCATTCACTGGAGCTTCCACAAACAACAATCAACTTAATTATTACATTCAAATTATGTACATTATTCAAGTTTACATTCACTTTGGATAGTAACACGGGAGAAATGAGCGGAAGCGCTCTCTTTTCCTCTCTCCCTCTCTCTCTCCCCCTCTGAAGAATACATATATAATAACTAGTTTAGCTTGTTTCAGAGGTAGATAAAATAGCTAAGTGTGTTAGGTCTAACTCTTGTGTGTTTTGCTCCGCTTACCGGTCCGGCGGGCGGAGCTGCAGGATTTCTGCTTCACACACGTTGCATTCCGCTATTTTACTGTCTTTTTCGGACACCTTAAAATAATGCCAGACCGGTGAAGCCATTTTGGCGAGCTTGTTTTGCCGCACACAGAGAAAAATGTCATGTATTTTACGTCATACGATCGGCTCTCGCGATCGGCATGTTTCGAGAGCACCGATCGATGGGTAGAGAGTGAGTATCGGCCGATCTCGATCGGAGCATCCCTAGCTTCCACAGATGACATTTTTTTATGGATTTTTTGTCAAAGCACTTAAGATATTCATTGCTATCGGGATGTTAAGAGCATTCCATGGAATATAACAAAAAGTGTATCTCGAGCCGGTTTCTCAAACTTACCTACCCCACCTTTAAGGTTTTATTTGTTGTTCTTTACCCTAAAATCTGAAAATAACTGATTTAAATGTAAACTGTTCAAAGACATAAGTACATAAAGAAAGCCCAAACCGAGTTAATGGGTATTGGAGCACGCCTCACTCAGTCTGGCTCCCAGAGGGGTGGTCTTCAGGCCTGACACCCAGAGGTGATCTACAGCCCCCCCCTCGCTCCGCTGCACTTTAACAGCCCGGCCGCCTCGCAGAGACAATAGAGACTGTTTTTGATATTCTATCTGGGAGACACTGAGAGTGGTGTTGGGATAAAGCGGGGCCCGGTGTTCATTCCTGTGACACGGTCTGGTGGACTCCTTTAATTTAACACACATCAGCGGCGGTCGGGATTGAAGTGATT